AAAAAAAAAAAAAACCTCCAAAGCCTCGGACTAACCCTCGGTCCGTGCACCAAAACCCCCCAATTGCCCCCGCATACTCACCGACGCCACCACGCGACAGTGGCGCTGGCACCACTTCGGCCAGTGGTTGGAATCGGAGGAGGGGGGGGGCTGAACCCTTCCCCTTCCGGTCGTTGCTCTCTTTCTCTCTCAGCGAGAGAGAGAGAGTGAGTGAGTGAGTGAGTGAAATATTAGATATTTTGTTTATATTTGATTTTTAAAAATTGTCCCTTAAGCCCAAGTTTTAAAAGTTGTTTATTGCAGTCCCAAATTTTCAGTTATGAATAGAGCAGTTCCTGGAGTTTCTGTTTTCCCTCAGTCAGTCCCCTAATTTAGAAAATTTTATTTTCAGTCCTTAAATTCTTCAATTTCAATTTCATAAATTTTCAATTAAGCCCCTGAACTTTATTTTATATCATTTTAGTTATTATTTTAGTCCCAAAGTTTCAGTAATTAGTAAATTAGTCCTTGGAATTCTTGCCCCCACGATTAGCCTACTATTTTGAAAATATTATTTTCAATCCTTAGACTTGTCAAATTTCAGTTTAACATTAATCCAATTAGGTCCCTAAACTTTATTTTATCACTTTAAAACCTTGAATTTTCGGAATACTAATTTGCCCCCACGATTAGCCTACTATTTTGAAAATATTATTTTCAATCCTTAGACTTGTCAAATTTCAGTTTTAACATATATTCAATTAGGTCCCTAAACTTTATTTTATCACTTTAAAACTTTAAATTTCCAGAATATTAATTCAAAACTTATTTTCTATTTTAGCTAGACGAAACGTACGGACGATTAGGAGATTGAGGTTACTTCCCACTCCATTTTTCTCGTGACTCGAGAAAAATTGAGGTAGACTCGCTATCATTAATTACTTTAAATTATAATTGAATGTGTTATGTGAATCTATGTGATTTATATGCTTTAATGAATAAGATGAGAATATTTCTTATGAGATATATGATATTGTTATACTTGTCATAACTTATATGCTTTAATGTATCAGAAGAGACGAGTATCACTTATGAGATAATATGAGAATATTATGTATAACTTATGTGCTTAAATGCATAAGACGAGACTATCCGCACCCTACGATTTAAAGAGCCTGTGATTTTTAAAGAAAATGAGCCTATGATGATGATGATGTCATGGTATAAATTGCATGACTACATTTCAATTATTCTGTAAATTAATTATTGGCGATAAGTTTACTGAGTATTTATTCGAAATACTCATATCGTTATATTAACAATACTTGCAGATTTTGGAGACGGTCGAGTGTGATGGGCAGTGGTGGCATAAATTAATAGTCAAAATTATATATCTTTGAAATTAATACTCATTCCATTATTTTAACAAAAAATGCAGATTTTGGTGACGGTCGCTATTGATGGGCAGTGGTGGCAACATGTTAATGGATGAAGTTATTTACTTTTGAAATTTATGTATTTGAACGTTATTAATGTACTTTATCATTTCAGTTATTTCAAAAACTTGAGATTTAAAGTTTAATCAATTTTCTTAAATTAATCAAATGCGTTTTGTTGCGTACGGGGTTTTACAATTATAAATGTGAAGTTTAAAATTTAGTTGTTTTCCGCGAATCTTTTTAGTTAATTCAAGACAAATGAGGATGACGTGGCACTCCGAGTTCACGGAACTCGGGGCTGGGCGTTACAATTACTCTTTTGGAAAGTGGCTGCCTCTCCTAATGGCCGGGTTTCTATATGGAGGGATTCCATGAGGCAAAGCCCGCAACCTCCAACTTCTTGTGGGGGTATCGGGTGAGAGTCAATCGAGACAGCAGGGAGGCAGCATAGGCCTTGGTATCCTCATAGTCATTAGGCTGGGAATTTGAGGCAACACAGATACAACAGTTAGGATAAATCAGAGGGGCTAATTTGCCTGGGTGCCGTTATCAGTGATCACGAGGGATTGGTGGTGGGGGCGATGGTGAAGTGGGTGAGAGTCTTCCATTTGATGTCTCTCAAGGGCGGGCTGATTTTTCGTCCATTCCACTGGTTTCCTACTTGAGGTGGCTGAATGTGATTTACTACGTGTTGGGCAGAGCTTAGTAGTTTCTGATTTCTCTTCTGCGTCGAATGAGAGGCACTGCTTAATTGTTGGAAAAATAGTTCAAAATAGTTGATATTTAATAATCTTTGACTAAATATTTGGATGGATCCCGCTACTCGAATTTTGTGAGAAATGGGTGGAACATATTCTACTTGTCGAGTAGACAAGTTTGGTATACTTGGAAGTCAAAAATTATTTTTGGATGAATAAGAAATTAGTGAATGAAGTTAAGTTGAAAATCATGATTTTTTTTTAATTAAAACCGAAAAATTCAAAATCAAAGCGTTGCTCGAGCGCCAGCTTCGCACTTAGCGAGCAGCTGTGTCTCTGCTGTGGGCGCTCGAGCGACATGCTGGGCGCTTAGCGAGCGGCCACGAACCTGTGCAACTTTTCAAGAACATGTTCAAATTTGGGTTGTGTCATTTCGTGTGCAACTCTTTAACCTTTATAAATTGGACCCTATGTGATGGTTTCATCCACTTCCATTTTATGCAATCAAAGCATATCACACAAATATCTTGCCAAAAATTCTACATCAAAATCTTGTTCTTTTTAATATAAGAAAGAGTACGGAACTTCGTTCTGTTCGCCGTTTCTTGTGATTCGAAGTGCCGCTATCACAAAAAGTTGATCGTTGTATCTTGAGAGACAATTGTCAAACCACTGTCGACACCTGTGTAGGACAAATTATTTTAAGGACACAGAGTTCAACTCTTACCTCGTTTTTCTTGCGTTCATTCTTAAATTGGGTTTATTCAAAGTTGTTATCTTATTAAACTTTGATTCGATTACTGGTAAGGTATGGTAAGTTCATATCTCATTTATTAATATAAAGAAGTCACTTTATCACTTATTATATTTTGCATTAATGAAATCGGTAGTCTTTTGTTGGATGTGAGCAGTAGTCCTCGTCACTTTGTACCTCACCTACTTGATTTTGTTAGTTTGATTCATTGTATTCCTAGTTCCTCTTGGCATTTTTGTTGAGCGAGTTAAAAATTTCTCTTTATATCTAGTACGAATTCAGGGCAACCCGATATTGATTATTATAATTAAAATCCGCACACTCCAATAAAAAGTTGGAATATTATAATTAAAATCCACCCGCTTCACCAAAAGAGAAGTTATAATAAGTTGAATTCTTCAAGTAGTAGTCATTTTCTTCCTAGAAAAAAATGTCGTTTAACAAGAACAGAGAAATCTTGTTTTCTTTTGATGACTTGGTAAGATATTCAAAGGTCAAGAAAATACCACAAGAAGTTATTGGTGCATCCAGCCAAACTGAGATGTTGAGATTAATATAATAAGACACCATCTCAACAGTTTGGGAAAACAAATGTTGTGTCCTCTGTGTGTGTGTGTGTGTGTGAGAGAGAGAGAGAGAGAGAGAGAGCTATCACATGATTTAGAAAATGATGCAATACACAATCTTTTACTGCTGAATCTATGCAGTAACTTCAATTTCAAAGAATTTTCTAAGCTTTGATCTCAATAATAATGGGAAAACTGAAATGCAAATTCTTGAACAAACTTCACGATTACAAAATTGGTCGACTGATTACCGGGAAGGTACAGAAATAGAATAGATATCCGGAACGAAGGTAAATGCCAGCTTAACAGGTATATGTGCTGTAGAAACTGTTCAGTCGAGACAAACAACTCAAGTGCAACTGAAAATTGTACCTCCGTTTTGATCCCAATAAATTTGGAGTAGGTTACGAGATTCCTTTTTCTTACACCGCTACATCCACTAGCTCATCTAAAGGAACTAGATCATTAACAGCTGCATCAGACCAAGTACTATAAATATCCGGTGAACATGTTAGGACACTCTTGTATTCTCCTCTGGTTCACTGGACACAAAAAGATTCTAAGAATGATAATAGAGTCTCGTACTGGAAGAACCTGAAATATTTTCTTCATAATAACAGTATTTGTTAGTCGAGAGTATCCTATCTTCAATATACTTGGTGTAATTTCCAAAAAATATCTCTCTACGGTTTTGCTTCAACAAGCGATCCAATGGTTGAGTTTTCAGGCTAAAGTCGATCCATATAACCATAGAAGTCAAATCGTAATCAAGTTTTGACAAACCAATTTTCATGATCAGCTGTTCAAATTTTCATCAAAAATCCAAGATTCTCACTTCGCAATTTCTTCGAGCTTGTTGAGAATTTGCTTAATATCAGGCCGAAGGGGAGTTGAGGGAGAACAACAAGCCATTGCAAGTTGAAAAAATCTGAAAATATGATCTTCAGTGACAACCGTCTGATCATTGCTTCGACTGAGAAGGATGTCTGGATGATACAAATCCGTAATTCGATCATCAAGAATTGCAGCCCTCAAGGTATTAGGCAAATAAAAGTCTTGATCGGGATTAGGATTTTCATCAATCGGTTCTTTTCCAGTAAGTAATTCCAGAAGGATTACCCCGAGACTATAAATATCACTTTCTTCACTTGCATCTTTCATTTTAATCAACTCAGGCGCTTTATATCCCTGAGATGCAGATGCTTCAAGCATTTGTTGCCCAGCCGTAGGATTCAAAAGAAGGTGCATGCCAAAATCTGACACGTATGGTTGGTTATTACGATCCAATATTATGTACTTCGACTTGAGATTTCCATGGACAACGGGCTTTCCAACTGCCGTATGAAGATGATGAACTCCTCTGACTTGAGATTTCCATGGACTACAGGCTTTCCAAATGCCGTATGAAGATAATTAACTCCTCTAGCAATGCCGATGGAGATCCTACATATGATCCGCCATTTGTGAGCTTCGCCATTACCTTCTGTGCATACAAGAAAATTATTGTTCTACATGGTATATATCGCAATGTTGCATGATACGGACAAATGTATGTATGTATGTATGGAAATTATGCAAAGCAAGAAATATGAAACAGTATCTACATATGTCGAGGCATCTGAATGATGCAGACAGACAAATACAATGAAAAATCCAGCCAGCTACTACTCATCAATTTTTTCCTCAAGTGTTGTCCAACAGCCCACAAAATTATTAAATGACCAATTCAAGTAAGGAAAAATGTAAACAAAAAGAGACAAATACCGCTTTTTAAGCAAATAAGACGGAAATAGTTCCATAGGTCTCAAAAGTAAAGAGATCCAGTTTTCATAAGATTCCAACTGAGATTTTTGACATATTAGAAAGAATTAATTCAGCTCTTTTGATAAAGAGCAGAACCTGGAAATTCGTATACAAATTTAAATACTGAAAAAATCTGAACTTCCGGCCCCTAAGTTAGGCGGTCGTAATATTCTGTTTCGTTCTACCACCATTCAGAACTTAACCAAAACAAAGAACTACTGATGCACATTTGCAAAAATTGCAGTCAAAGAATTGCAAATATTTTGGATGATCAATTCTACATCAAAAATTCTGTATCTAAAGATGGCCTAAATTGGGAAAATCAAAAATGATTCCCTTGAAACATTACCTTTTGCCATTCTTGAACTGAAAATATTCATAGAATTAATTCTGCTACAAGAACAGTTCCATAACCCATTAACAAAACAAAATTTTAAATGTAAGATTTAAATGCTAACAAGAAAATCAAACTGCAAGAGCCTTTACCTCTAATGAATTGAGCCAAATTTCCTAGCCCATAAAATGGATGAACAAGAAGCTTCTCTCCTCTAGGCCCTGCATAAAATGCATTCAGAGGCACCAAATTTGGATGCCTAATAGACCCCAGCAACTCTATAATTGGTACAACTTCTTTCATCCTCAATGTACAAGTAGGCCTCAAGAACCTTAACAATTTCAGTGAATTTGTATTGACCAAACTAGCCCTGTACAGAGTTCCATAGCTAGATTTTCCTATAACCTCACCAGGGGCATCCAGTATTTCATGTACAGTTAGATCTTCAACATCTTGAAACTTGATCAAAAAATCCTCTGAATTTACCACCCCACCAATTTCTTTGCACTCAAAGTTAGCTTCCACATCTCTTGAAACATTTTGAGGCTTTCTTCTTCTACAACAAAAGATTATGAGGAAAAGAATTGTTAAGAGTATTAATGAGGTTAGTCCTATGATAAATATGAGCTTATATTTGTGTTCCATCTCAGAAAAAAAGAAGAAGTGATTCTTGGGATTTTTTGAAACTTTGTGGGGGCGTTTTTGTGAAAAATAAGATTGAACCAAGATCTGGAAATGGTGGAACAATTTTGAACAGAAAATGCAAAGTGAAAATGAATGGCGATCACATCAGTCAAGAGATTATGAAAATTGAAGAACTGATAGGGATTTTCTGAAGACTGAGAATTCCCATTCTTAGAGTTTTGGGAATTAGTGCACAAAAAAGTAGAATATTCGAAGTTAAACAAGATTAGAGAGAGGGAGACACAGAGAGAGAGAGAGAGAGAGAGAGAGAGAGTGTTTTATGTAATTCGATTTTGCTGATCTTCGCTGTTCATGAATGGACGTCCATGTATCAAAAAAGAATTAAAATCTGAAATTATTGCTCAATTGACTTCCAAAAAAGAAAAAAAAAATCTAGGAAAATTCATAATGCTTAATTGCCATGATTTTATTTAATTTTTTTTTAAAATTTTCAGAAATTTGCAAACTGGGATTGAAGCATAAAACCCTTAAATGTTGATTGACAATAAAAAAAGGGGAAAGTTGTGGAAATATAGAAAATCATTGAGAGAATAAAGCAACTTGTTTGTTAAGTGTGCTTTACTCTTCCTTAAGTAGTAATCTTTTTGACCTTATTATGTTTTTATTTTTACCCGTCGGAAGAGAAAAATGTCTTAAGAGTTGGAAAACAATTTGAAGGATCTCTTGACTAACAAGTTTTAAGAAAATAAAACACATAATAGCATCATGTTGTACCGTCTTTAAAAGATATTACGGTTGTCTTGTGTGTGTGTGCACGCTATAGATGGGTGTGTACGTTAGATGTTGAAAATGATTGGGCAAAATGTTAATAAAGTAATTGGAAAATGGTCCAAAAATATGCAATATAACCACTCGTAAGGGGCTCAACCATATTAAGTGAGGGTGATCGATTTTACTTTGATATTTCTGTTGGCATGATTTTTGAAAAGTCAAAAGTTATTTTTGAGATTAAGAAATTTCTTTTAAACATATTTGGATAATTTTATTAAAATATTTTGTCTGACTAGATTAACTTTTAGATGAAGTTGATTTGCAATTGTTTTCTTAGAGAATCCTTCTACAAGAAACATTTACTCTGCCAAACGAGCCCTTACCACTATAACAATAAAGGAAGATGATACTACCTAGTAAGCTGGCTTTGTTATATGCAGATGATATCTTCTTTGCATTTTATTCTTGGATTCGCTTTGTAGTGCTCTATGTTAGCAAATTTTCAAGTTCTTCTATTCGACGTTCGAACTCTATTAGTGTTGCTTATCAAGAGCACTAGATTCTTTACGAGGTATACAATTAATCATATTGGAATCTTTTAATTGACGACTCTTTTTCCTTTTTTTTTTTTCCTATCTAAACAAATTTTGAAACATTGGTTAGTATTTATTAAGTAGACTCGTAGGTAATCATATTCTAAAAGTACAAAAAAAGTCACCTGACCATGTTAAATGCACGAGCACGACATAACATATCACATAGGTACGACATTAAAAATTGCCAACTTTTGTAAGTTGGGTTGGACAACTATGTTCAAACATCGCAAATAACACGTTAGTTGACCAATTGAATAAAAATATAGATAGGTCTAAATCAGCCAGGGAATGGAATCAAGGTTTTCTTTTATTTTTGGTGGGTGGGGGAATGTGGCTGAGAAATTCGAAGGAATATTGTAAGAATCGGATCAAACTGATCGATTTGATTGAAAATTCAAGAATCAGTTTGAAATTTGATCTCATTAAATATCGATTCATTTATTTTTTGATTGTCGATTCAACTTTCAGTTCGATTGACTCTAGGCTTTTTACTTTCATGAATCAAGGTTAGAGTTGATTTTTAAAACATTAATGAGAAGTGGAAGTAGGTTGGCCTTGTATAAAATCATACTCCCCAACCCATTTTTTTTTTTCATTTGTCCTTCTTTATAGACAACTTTCTTTGTTGGGAGAATAATTTCTCAGGGATTGTTCTCTTTGTTTTTCAATTTTGTGTTTTTAATTTTGAATTCATTTTCGATTTTTTGTGTTTTGAGTGTTCATTTTGAGATTATTGAAAATTTATTTTTTTGACATTTTGAAAAATTATTTGGAAAGCATCCAAAACGCGTTTTGAAAATTTTGACCTGATTATAACTGAAAACACTCAAAACGACAAATTTGCCGTTCTGGGTATATTAAGAGAAATATAAGTAAAATTTATATTTCTAACTATATTAGTTATATTTTCTTAATTTGTGTAAAAATAAAAGTATGTTTATTTTTATGGGACAGTCGAAATACAACTGGTTCTGAGATGACATGTTGGGAGTGGCATGGCATTATTGCACAGTCTTTTCATGAGAGAGACACATGCAAAGTAATGAAAAATAACAAAAAAATAAAATATAAAAATTGTCAACATGTCCAATGGGTGGGTTGCCTGTTGAGATGGTATTGTCTCTATTGTCAATTTCTTCAAAGCCAGGAAAAAAGGGCATATGATAAAAATTTGGATGAAGCCACCAATTCAAGAAAAGTATCTTACTAGAGATACAAATATAGGTATAATAATATCCCATGGTGAAATGGTAGAAAATGACCACTGCGTCATATTTTTCTTTAATGAACTTATCACTTTTCTATGAATATAAAATATAGTTATATTAATGTTATAATTTTTCTATAAATGTAACACGTTTTAATTGTATTAAAGGTTCTTAATTTTTATTTATTTACATTTATTTCCTCCAACTTTTTTCATCACATTTTTATCATAACTTTCCGTTCCATAGTACATATTATCTTTTATGACAGTTTATTCCAGAAATTTCGTCTAACGTGCTTTAAAACAAGGGCAAATATTAAATTGTATTTTTTATTTTTTATTTATTTTAAAATGTGTAGGATAAATAAGTATTTTTTTTGCCTATTTATAGTATGTTTAGATGGGAATCATCATTAAGAGGTAAGACGTGCTAATTAATGAAAGATCGAGGATAAAGAAACAGTGAAAAAAGTCGAGAACATAAGTATAGGATAGATACCTTTAATGGGTGTTCCACATTTACCTCCCCCTTCTCTCTAAAAAACCCTCCCCCTTCTCTCTAAAACACTTCCAATCGAGCGCTCGACGGGGGTGGGAGCTTCGGCTCCCTCTCCCCCATTTCCTTCTTTCCCCTTCTTCTCTTTCGTTAGTTTAGGTTTGTTTCTGGGGTTTCCGGCTGGTGTTTTTGTTGGAGTGTTGGGTGGCGTTGTGGTGGTGTTTGGTTGTGTGGTGGTGGCATGTTGGGTTGGGTGGTGTGCAGGTGGGGCGCCTCTGTTTCCGTCTCTCCGTAGCGCTGCAGTCCGAACGGTCTGGTCGAGGTACGGCCGGCTCCGTGCGGCCTACCTCCGTCGTGGTGGTTGAGTTTTTCGTGAGAGTAGTTGGGTCCTCGGTC